TTATTTATTATCTTTATATATATATATATATATATATATATATATCTTAGTCTAAACTTCTTTTAGTGTTAATAAATAAGGATTATTTGTACTTTCTCTCTTTATATCTAATCTATTTGATTTTCTTATGTGTGACCTATCATGCTTTATTGAGATCTCAAAACCAAATTGTGTATCTTGATTTAGAATCTATTTAAATATAAGTTAGAAATATTTTTGATATTTTTTTTACTAAAAATAAAAATATTTTTCATAAGAGAAACTCTTAAAAACATTTTTAAACTTGTATATAACCAGTCTCTTATTATCTGTCATGAATTTCTTTATAACATGCATCCCACCATTATTGATCTTTTTTCCATTACAATAAATTAAAAATTTAAAGTAAATATTTAAAAAATAAGCAATTAGGTACTAAGATTTTATCTTGACATTTACTTATTATAGACTCTTTATTTGATTAGTGATTATTGATTAGTGATTACTTTTTTTATTAATATTTTTTAGAAAAATCTTGATTATAAATGAATTCTTAATGATTTTACAATTAAAAAAATACAAGTAGGAAAATATTCAAATAATTATAGGATTGAGAACATCACTTTTTTTTTTCGTCACAAAACAAGAAAAGAGAGTCCCTATCCTCTCTCTCTCTACGTAAAGATCCATTATCATAAAAAAGATATTGCAAGACTTTATTCTATTCTTTCATGCCATATCCATTTTCAATAACAAAAAAGAAAATCTGTACAGTTAGGAAATGCAACTTTTCTACACGTGTCTGCAGGAAGAAAAGTGATGGAGGACCACGAATAATTGAAGATGACATGCATTGGTAATTTCCAATTCCTAATGCCTCGTGTTTAAGACAAAAGAGATTGAAAATATATGTAATACATGAAAAATGATAGGTAATTTCCTTGTTTATTAGCAAAGTTCTCTCACTCCACGATTTCTCTTTTGCTGTTTTTGAGGGATGATTCTCAGAATACTCTCAGATTTGCACAAAGAAACATCTCCACTATTGACAATTGGCAAGCACACTGAAAAAAGCTAGCCCATCAAATGCACTTATTGTCATGGCTGAAAAATCAAATTACTACACAATTAATCAAGATTTATTTTTTCCACAAATATAATATATCACATTTCAAAAATGACAATTAAAAATTAATATGTAATATCTTATTCTAAACATTATTTTAAAATATTAACAAAAATTAATCTGTTTGTCAAATTAATTAAGAATTTAATGACTATTCACTAAACTATTAATTAATTACAATTCATTATTGATATGACTTTTTTAATCTCTTGTTATAAGAAAATAAATTTATTATATAAATAATGTAATATATAATAATTTGTAATTGAATGATAATGAATTTTTTACTTACATAATGTTTTACTGAATGATATATCATATACTGATATACCATATGTGTTATACAATAGAAATACCCTACTTTGGAATGCAGTTTCAACATGCACAGCTCACTAGCAAGAGGAAGATGATAGATATCGCTCTCAGCCATTGTGGGACTTTATGGTTGAACCTACGTCCTACAATGTGGGGTACCCTAATATTTGGTTTCTGGATAAAAGTTTAATGAGCAAATGTGACCAACCCTAGAGCTTATTGTAAGATGCAAAGGTTATCCATTATTATTTGCATAACATAGTACAACTTTGATTTTGATTGTTAACTTCCAATCCCTGGTCCACTCTATTTATTCTCCTGAATTCTTAAAGATGTTGGTCAGAGAGGCAATGTTCCTGATGGACTATCAAATAAGTGGTTTATAGGTAGATCACCATTATTAACTCTCCCATACCTGAGTAAATAGTTATTTAATAATACTGATTTATCCATCAACCATTTATTTGATGATCACCCTAAAATTAACTTGCTAGAAGTGAGTATTTGGATTTGAGCATGAGGACCCATACATGCATATGGATTTGGATTATGATGAATTAAAATGTCGATCCATCTAAATATGAATTTATTTTGTCTGATTTATTTAATTTCAATCACTTGGGTTATTGGACTAGCTTGCAAGACTAAATAATTTTTAAATATTAATTACTTATTAGTATCTTGTAATTTTATTATTTAGCAATTGTAAAAGTGATATAGTTTTTAGCGACAAGTTATTTATTAATGTTTGGTTGAAGCATGAAATAACGAGTAAATAAAATATTAACCAGCTATACAATCTTTTTCAGTTTTTAAGATTTCTTTTTATATAATTTTTCAGGTTTTTCAATCATTTTCTTTTTAACAATAATTTTAATTTTTATATATATTTTTTATTATTGCATTTATAAGTTAAGTAGGTTGGAGATGAATTAGGTAAAAACGTAGTTCATTTAATTAGCAGGTCAATCTAGTTAAGTCTTTTTAAATGCAGATAAAAACAAACTAAGTTGACTCATACTTGTATATAATGATATATTTTTTTAACTCTTATTACTAGTAATGTCATCGAAGATGGACTTAGCTACATTTAAAATTTAATGCCTTAAGATTAAGGGAGGTATGATCCTCTTGAATACCATGATTTTTATTGGAACTGACACATTTTTATTTTATCAAATAGTGACCCACGATAATTGATTGTTAAGACATGTTATATTTTAAAAATAATCTATGAAAGACATTTGAATATATTCTAATAGAAAGAGTATAATAAACTTGGGTTTATTCATATTCTAGTTGGCCATATAAGAACCAAATTGTAGTAGTGGAGCACAAGCTAAAACTAATTGCTTAACTGAGATCACTAACATGACATAAATCAAATAAAGACCGAATTCATATTAATATTTGGCACATCTGGTTCTGAATATGTGAACACTAACTTCGTTTCCCTCTTCAAGTTCAAATATGCAAGTGTCACCTCTCATGAGTTTGTTATCACGAACGAATCTTCCCCATCCTGTAGTAAGCTGAGTATACCTTTTACTTTGAGAATTCACTGTTACTTCCCAAAATTTACCTTCCGGATTCCAAAGAATGATCTCTGTAACTGCTTCAGGAATATACATTCTGGCAAACTCAGTAGCAATGTGCTGCATGCATGAGAACTCCAATTTATATCATATTATTCTGTGTTCTAAATGAAAACAGTCTTAGGAGTGTGTTATGTGAGATTCAGATAAACACCCTCCAACTGAAATTTGAATCAAGAAAACTTATTTGGTTTTATATTTTAAATTTTAACAGAAAAATATGCATGTCTCTCAATTCTAGTGACACTAATGGAGAAAATAAATTTACATTTACCAATATGCAAGGATTTTCCACATTAGATTTTCTCAGGAGGTGCTTCCAATGAGGTTTGCCAGAGGTAAAAGTCTCAGCCAATTTGCATGCTTCTGAGCTTTCAAATTTAATTGAATTCCGAGGCTTTGAAAAGTTCTTAGAAAGTAAGCCTTTGTTGCTGAAAACCAGATCTATTATATACACAACAAAAATTTAAGAGGTGAGATGCTTTAGGGGGATTAAGGTCAAATCTCTTATGCTGTTTGCATGTTATTCCTTTCAAAACATTTGGTCAAATTGAATTTGTCATCTTTTGAGATTGTAACCACATTTATGTGTATGTTTGAGACATCGTATTTACCTTCTTCATAAGACTTTGATTCATGGAGGTGCAATGAACCTGCAAAAGTTTTTTGTTGTTTACATTTTTCTGCCCTCTCCAAACATGGGGTGGCAGTTTGTTCTTGTCTTATTTCTCTGAAACATCCGTTAGAAAGTGTGTCTTTGTTGTTGAAAGGCATATCTGTTTATACAAAACAAAAATTTAAGAAATGAGATTTTTTTTTCGGGAGGGGGGGAGGGGGATAGGAGGAATCTAAAGACCAAATCCAAAATGTTGTTTACATGTTCTTCCTTTCAAATATTTGATCAAATTGAATTTGTCCCTTTAAGGTCCTAATGTATATGTTTGGCACATAATATTTACCTTCTTGACAAGACTTGGATTCATGGGGGCGAAATGAACTAGCACAAGTTTTTCTTTGTTTACTCTTATTAGTCCTCACCAAACTTGGGGTGGCAGCTTGTTTTTGCCTTGTTTTCTTTGTCTTACATCCATTAGAAAGTGAACATTTGTTGCTGAAAGCCAGATCTATTTACATACACAAAATAAAGATTTAAGAAATGAGATAACTTTTGGGGATTAGTGGGAATATAAAGGCAAAATCTGTGATGCTATTTACATTTTCAAAACATTTGGTCAAACCAATTTCTCACTTTTTGGGGGTTGTAACCACATATGTGTGTAAATGTATGAGAATGTTTGAGACAACATATTTACCTTCTTGACAAGACTTGGATCCGTGGAGGAATGAACCAGAAGAAGTTTTTCTTTGTCTACTCTTCTCTGTCCTCACCAAACTTGGGGTGGCAGCTTCTTCTTGTCTTGTTTCTGTGAGGCATGGCCTCTCACATCCATTCTTACCAAAAATTTGAACATGGAAGCATTTATCTCCGAGATATCTAAACAGCAAGAACTCATCAAGCACCACCGAGTTATCTGTCAGAAATTGTGGCCAACCATTTTGCATATAAATTTCATTTCCTTTCTTCAAAATAGTTACTTGCCACTGGCCACCAGAAGTTCCAATAAGAATTGCATCACTGGACAAATCTTCATTCAAATGCTTCAGAAACTCCTTTGGGACTTTCTGCAAGTTATGCAAAGAAGTTTCCTTAAATTTTTGAAACCATGACTATGATAATTATCAAGCAGGACCTGCTAAAGAGATGCTGAAGGCACAACTCAAAACAAATACACAATTGAAGACGTTTCCTTACCCTAATTCTTTCATTCATTTATTGATTGGTAATTAGATATTTTCCCTTTTGATGAATAGGAAAAGCCAACAAGTTCATTTTCTAGCATGATTTAAATCATCATATTTTACAACATAACATGTAAAAATGAAGACAAAAGGGATTCTACAAAGCACAAACAATAAGTATGAGTAAGCGCATAAAAGCTACCACCTTTGTGTGTGGTGGTGAAATAAAGAATCATTATGAACAGAATAAACCAAAAGGGCATGGTAGTTTCACCAGAAGCTATATTAAAAAACAGAACTTTTATATAACAAGAATGCTAATGTAAAAAAAAAAAAAAAAAAAAAAAACCTCTTTTCAATATAGTTTTTCAGCATCCAAAGAAAGGCAGACATTTCTGACTAGGAACAAAAAAAAAAAACCATTATAAAGAAAAGAATGACCAGTAGCTTGGTGTTGTTGATGATGATGAAGAAGAGTGGGGTGTGTTGATGATGAAAATCCATGTGCCAGCACTCCGGGTTGTTTCGTTGCACAAGAGCAAAGCATTTGGGATTGGGATGAAATGAAGGGTCTCTCATTGTGATGGGGACCAGTTTGAAAGAGGAACATACACCGAAATAGAATTTTTGAATCAAAAGTTTAAGGAGCAAAAATGGTAATGACAAGCAAGTGATTAATGCACAGGAAAATCATTCATGTACATCCATGTTAGTGGACATGCATGGAGAGGAAGACAGAGATAGAAAAGGGAGAAGTGTTAATAACACTATAACATTAAATAAAATTTGTTAGAAAATTTTAATCCTTACTTTATATTAATAGGTGTAATTAATTTTATTTTATTTTAAGTATTTTAATTCGATGGCTATAAGATCTGTTTTAGAATACAGATTGATATATATCTTTAGAATTGATTTTTTGTGATGTTAGAATAATACTTGATTAGCAAAATTTACATTCTATGTGTGTTAATTATTTCTTGATTATTAAAACGCTTTATAATACTGCATGAATAATGTATATGAAAAAATTACTTATTTAATTTTTAAGATTTTAAATTTATCTTTTTTTTTGTTTATTTTTTAGTATCATGATATTGATAAAAATATCTTATATCTTTGACAAAAATTAATTTCATTTGAGTTCTTGATTGTATTAAAGTTTTGTTAAAATTTATCTTTCATTACTTAAATTAAAAAATATTCATTTTAAAAACTATTTTTATCATTTTTTTTTAATTTAAAAAACTAATTTGATGGGTCATTAAAATTATAAAAAAAAATGGATTCTCTCAAATAAAATTGCGAGTGCATAATTCAAAGTTCTTGATTAAGTATGAAATAAATGAAGGAAAGAAAAAAATGTCCAGAAGCAAAATTCATGTGCTCTGTTTCTGACAATAGATGATAATACGATAGATGTGAAAAATGTAATGAAGGGGATACAATGAAATCAGGTCATGTTTGGTCTGTGCCTTATTTGAAATGATGAATCTATAATAATATATTATTTTCGTGCATAAAATGCCTTCTCTTTTTTTTTTTTAGCTAATTAGTTATTATTGTTTTGCCCGGGTATCACGTACATAGAGTGTTAACATATACTAATTATGAGTGAGAATAAGAGAAGGAATAGTTTGGAAATTTAAATTGTAATGAAGATAAATGAAAAAAAAATTGTATTCTTAAAAACATTTTTCCTCTATTTTTTATTTTTCAACTAGATAAAATTATATTATTATGTATTTTTTGTTTTTCTTCTTACCCTCATAAATCTAAATTGATTTTTCTTAATTAAATTTTACAATAAAAATTATTTAATACCGATAAATTTAGTATATTTGATCGATATAATATGTTAGACTTTGTTGAGAGATAAGTCTTAAAAAGTGGTCTAACTCTAATTCAAATTTATAAAATTAACTTATATATAATTATGATTTTATTTTTAATTAATATAAAACTTTTAACATGTATTTCAAACATAATTTTATAAGATTAAACATTTACGATAAATTTAATAATAATTAATAATTATTAAGATAGACTTTAATAGCATAATTAATTTAACATTACAAAACTAATTTTTTAGATAAAAAATTTCGATACGAAGTTATTTAATGTGTTTTAAGGTAATTTTTTTCTGACACTTGTGTTTTAAGGTCATTAAAAAACATTACTTTCACATTCTATTGCACAGCAATGTTTGGTCTGGTTTCTCCCGAGAAATTGGCATTTCCCCGTGGCAAATAGATATTTGTTTTTTAATTACAAATTTTTAATATCTGGTAAAATCCAACCTCCATAACCGCTTCTGAAACAAGTTTGTGACATTACCAATTCACCATCCTCCTGGATTAGTTAACCAATTTCCATGTCTTGGAATCACAAACACGCCAACCCTCGTCTTCAATCTCTATAACATTCTTCACATATATCTTCATTTTTTAGGTATGCTGTTCACATCCTAGCTTCGTAAGTAATTATGATTTTTGCATTCTTATTTAAATACCTTTTCCCATTGTTCTTCTGTAATTTAATTTATATCATATCATACTATATTCTTGATTGACGTGCCACGTACAAATCCTTAACTCACGAACGTTACACGTTCTTTTCATTCTTATAAATGAAATGCAAACGTTGACACCACGCCACTTTGTTTCTATCACCACATAGATTGCTCTTTAATTGTTGACTCAAAAAGACAAAACTATTTTTTTGCTCAGGATTTGAAGATGGGGATGGATAAAGTTTTTGCCATGTCCAAGATGAGGAAAGCAGAATTGGTGAAAGGGGTGGTGATCATTGCTGTGATGATGGCTATGCTTGTTGCCGATGCAGCTGATACAAATGATGTTTATAGTCCATGTAATGATGCTAAAGTTCAGAAAGGAGATGGTTTTACATTTGGTATTGCATTTTCGGAGAAGCAATTTTTATCCCAAGACAATGGCCCACAGCTTTCCCCTTGTGACAAACGCCTAGACCTCACAAACAAAGGAGCACAGCTTGCTGTTTTTAGGCCAAAGGTTGACGAGATCTCCCTACTTACCATTAACAGGAGCACCCTAAACCCGGTATGCAATTTTATGATTTCATGATTCAAAATTCAATGCTTTGTATATTGCATTGGATGGAAATGTTCAGTGATGGGACATTGCATTAGATAATGACATCAAACATAAGTGTAAACTTGATTGATAAAACTTTATTATTGAGATCGAGAATAAATTTCTCTAGAAAACTTTTTAGAAAATAAAAATAGAAAATAAAATTAAAATAAATTTCTCTATAAATCAAAATTAACTTGTACACAAATTAAAAAATAGATTTTTGAGAAGTTAAGAGAGAGCTTTTACAAAATAATTTATGCATAAACTAATTTTAACTCATGCAGAAACTTATTTTATTTTTTCTTCCTATTTTATTCTCCTAGAAGTTTTATAAAGAAATTTATTCAGATAAACTCAATGACTATTATATAATTAAATTTGACAATTTGTATAGTTCCGTTTGAAGAAATATTTCTGCTTTGTTCAGATTTCATTTTCATAGCTGAATTCTCCTGCAGCCACATATTCTTTAGAAAAGTTTTGGTTGTTAGTTCTCTATTAACTTTGTGAAGTTATCAGGGCACAGCTGGATATATGGTTGCATTTGCTGGGCAGAAATATGCAGCAAGGTCACTGCCTATTATGTTTGGTGACAACACTCACACAATTACTAGTTTCACTTTGGTACATGCTCTAGCTGCGCTTCTCTAGGAATGTTATTTCCTAACTCTAGGAATGTTATTTTGAATCTGGATGTTGATTGATTAACAGGTTCTTGAATTTCAAGAGGGAACCCTTATAAACTTGTATTGGAAGAGCTTCGGTTGTGGTGCATGTTCTAAGGGGAGCATTTGCCTGAATCAACAAGAATGTGCAGTGCCAAACACAGAGTGTCAAAACCGTGGAAGGAATGCCTGCAACATGGGTGTACAGTTGGTATTCTCAGGGACTGACAAGAATCTCAACGCTCTTAATTCTTGGTATGAAGTGAAAAATCTAAGGCAGTACTCCCTCTATGGGTTATACTCCAATCTTCGTGACTCCATCGTCGGGCCATATGAAAAGTTCTTTTAAGTTTACATATTTCCAGCTTGCATGCATTGGAGACTGTACTCATTTAACTGTTATTTGTGAGTCAATGTCCTTTGTATTCACAATCAAAATCCCAAACAACTTGTCTATTTCTAATTAGTCTGAAGTTATTGACCGAGGTTTTTCCACTTGACAAGACATGTCATTATGTTGATCATACACTTAGGAAATCAGGTTGTACAAAATCATTAAGGAACGTTAAAATTGAGCAAAACAAGGACATAAAAAATCTAAGTTTGTCATTGACAAGTCACCAATTAAAAGGCTATAAATGAGATTCATAGTCTGTAATATATAACACTAGAAGGCAGCTATATATAACTCGAGTCAGTTTGGTATCCCTTTAAAGTCAGGATGAAAAATCTAAATATGAGATTATCTTTTCCTGCAAGGCTCATAATAGAAATTTGCAGCTCATTTTTTTTAGTACACCAAACTGATCATTAAAATAACTCTTTAAGCTGTATATCATTGAGTTAGAGAGAGAGAGAGAGAGAAACCTTGTTCCCCCATTAACTGTCATTCTGGTTACGCCCAGCAACTAGATCCCCCATAACAAGTTGTCTAGAATGTTATGATTTTTCAGGCTCAATTATAACATTGAAGCCAAATTCATTTCCTGGCGTGAATGATTTTTTTAGTTGTTCTGCCGTTTGGGTGGTGCTTATTTTGCGGTCCTTTACATCCAAGTTTTCCTGGTATTGGGTCATCAAATTTGGAAATAAATATATATCCATGACAGCCACATATGAAGTGGTAAAAATCACTTGCCTTTTTTGCATAATCACCCATGGTAGAGTTGAGTATTTCTTGTATTGCAAACTTGGTGACACGTTCTTCCCCAAGCATCTGTACAAGGAAATCCTTTGGGATCTGTATGCATTTCCTAACCAAAAGTTATCTTCAAGGAAAATTAAAGCATACATGATAATGATCTATGGATGTTCTGCTGTATTCAGTACCAAAGAAGCCTGCCTTTTCTTTTTTGAGGGATACCTCATTAGGAAAGACAACTGATAGAAAAATCTAACCATCCGAGTGATCAATGCTTACATTTTAATTATATTGATGTGATTAACAATATTATCGAAGAATAAGCATATAATTTATAGATTCATATATAATAAATAATAGTTTTTCATCAAATATAAAAAACTTGATTGGAAATCACGCACCTTTGATGATTTTCCTGGAGCAGTTCGGACATCACATGCACAATTTAATAAAGTTAGAACTTATGAACTGTAACTTCTGTTAAAATACTGAACTATAATGAACAGGAAAATGAATCACATATAGAATCATAACAACAGCAAGAAAGAAGTATTAAAGTTGAATAGGAAGTGCCTCGAAATGTAATTGGGAAGAGTAAAATGAAAATCCAGTTTCCGTTCTTTTCCCACCATTGACCATTCTCATCATTGGTTGCATATTTGGTATCAGTCTATCAGAGACAACTGACTAAAATAGAGGAGAGGGTCAACCGACTGGAGGTGAGCTTCGGCTTTTACAGTGAAATTCCACAAGGTGGATTTTCTCACTAACAAATTCAGAAAGTCTTAAAATGGGCATCCAATTGGTAAAACACTCATGTAAAAACCAAATCAAGACGACAAATGTGAAGGATATGCCGGACATTTCACAAGCCTTAGTTGAGCAAGAAAATACGAGATACAAATAAAACGGTCACTGTTTGGCCAAGCCCTGAAAGAGAAAGACCTTGATATTTTGTAATGAGGTCATAAGCAGCTCCCAAATGGTATTTCACAGAAAAGATGGCTATCAGATTTTATTAAGTCTGCAATATTGTAGGCAAATGGTAACACCTCGTGTTCAAGCAACTCTTGAGGATAAAGGGATTTTGAATGAGGGAGAAATCTTGCAGCGAATGCCAAATGTGAACCTCGTGTGTTCTTGGCACGTGATGCAATGTATGAATCATAATTGGGCATGAAAGTGAAAAATGTAATAACCAATAGATATATATTCAGGGTATGAAAGTGCATGATATCATCATTCTTTATCGATAATGCAGCTTCTTACCTCCTTTTTGCATGCGAAATCCAGGAACTGGTGGGGCAGTACGACCTAAGTTTGTTAGGATCCTGTCGAATACCTTTTGTGTTTGATCACCAGTCAAGTCCACTCTTAACTGCCATTTAATCCATAAGATAGTTATCACAATATCAAACCCAAGAGTTAGGGTACAGGGTATTGAAAACATAAAATAGCACGATTAACACGATGTAGTAATTTACAGAAACACACTCCGGAAATAAAAATAATAATAATAAAAAAAAGGTTATTGAAGGGGGAGACTAAAGGGTAATCGAAAAGGGTTGTTATAGTACTATATCTGGCCATATTTTGCGTATATTAAAGTATGCTAGTGGCAATGTCTGATAAAAAAAAATTGTACAGCAATATTAGCTCCAATCATGACATGCTTGTTTAAACAAAAGTAAAATGAAGTATATAATCACAATAGAAACAAATTAAAATACCACAAGGGAAGACCTTGCCCGATTAATAGAGCATGAAGACTACCAAAGGTTTTAGTTGAGTTTAGTTCTTCAAGGTTATCAAATTAATAAACTTGATCGGAAAAATCAATATCTCTTCAGTACAAAAAAATGTGCATCACTACAAGAAATCTTATTTCAGCCTTTTAACCGAAAGCTCAACAAAGCCAGTAGAAACATGAATTTGAGACACACACATATTCCTCTGTAGGACAACATAAGACTTTTTTTTTACATATATACAAATCACATCTTTTCATCATTGTACCCTATAGGATAAAGCAATGCCAATTCTGTACAGAGAGATAGAAGAAAATATAAAGAGAGACATAGAATAAAGGCTATGGAGATGCAATTTGGGATAAATAGTATGACAACATAGCGAAACATCAAATAATTTCCCGAAAGAGTCAGAATAGCAATTCTACATTGGAACCAGTTTTTGCTGTGTGCTCACTTGTATCTTATTTTCATCTTCGGAATCTACAACTATTTTGGCATTTGTTAAGATGGCTGAAATATCGTTGGAATCTGTAATTGATGCTTCTAAACCTACAAGGCAAGAGAGCGTAATAATATAATAATATTAGTATAGCACTTGCTATAACTAGCAGAAAATCTCGAAAAGTTTGAACGCAGAACACGCGGGGAGTTAGTATATTTCCATTTTATGTACTTAAAACTCCCTAGAATATTCATTCATATATTTGAAATCCAGCAGAAGAAAATGGGTCCAAAAGTCACCTGAATTAACAGCTGAAATTGGTGTATTGAGATGTCTGAGAGTTGTCACGGTGGGACTAGAAAGAATACCTAAGCTGCATGGAAAAACAAAAACAAAATGAATAATCCGTATATTAATATTATCCCTCATCCAAATAATAGCCATTATTAGGGTTGATAAAATATCATTCTCAAAGAAGCATTGATGAGTGAATCAATTGGGTACCTCCTCCTCTTGGACAGACTGAGAGAAAATATGTCTCTGGCTCTGGATTTTGCATTTGGATTGGGAAGAACGTGAATGCAGCAGGTTCTAGTTCCAGAGAGAGGGCAAGTTGTGAAAGAACCAATTCCAAATGTTATGGAATTTGATTTGGAGGCCATCATCATGTTCGTGTCGTGTCTGTATCCCAGTCCTGAACTGATGACTGGTGAATGATGTCTTATCCCTTATTATTCCTTTTTAGGTTTTGCAGCAACAAGGTGGGGTCCAGTTCGGTTGACGTTCCAATTCCATTTTCTGTTTGTTAGGGATAGTGATATTTTTTTTTTCTGCTGTTCAGCAGTGCAGTTATGACAGGTAAGTTGCGAGGGCTGGCGTGGTCAATCAATTTTCCATACGAGAAATGCCTCATCCATGCTACTCCTGGTAAAAGGATCGGTTTCAAAACCTTTATTTATTTATTTATTATTTATTTATTTTTACTTTCATGCAGCCCAACGATATTTTTCTTTTGCTGGATGCACAAAATAACATTTTTATATTTTTTGTAATTTTAAGTCAATAATATTAGGCACTACTGTCATTCCAACTGAAAATTAATTAATTAAAATAATAATATGATAAACTCAATATACCTGACTTGCACTTAAAATGTATAGATATTTCTCTGAACATCATCGTCAACTTGACTTTTGTGGAGAACGAGAAATTCAAATATTCATAGGTCAACATGTTTAATTTTATATATCAGATGACTTATCTAATCTTGAAAATTGAAAACAGAGACAAATACTGAGAACCAGGATGAACGTATCCGGAGGCGCTGACTTCCCAATATTTGACTTTCCCCGTCACTATACCGTTAAGGGCATATAAAAATCATGAAAAATTCTGTAAATCAACTCCTCCTATTCACCATTGAATTCTCAAAGTCTATCAACTAAATATAAAGATAAAAATCTTATTAGTTGTCTTTTCCTTTTTACATTTATGACTGCATCCAGGTACTTGCTGATTCGATAAGGATAGGCGTTTAAAGCCTCGGAATCCCGTAGCATTTTCAAGAGACGAAAAATTAGTACTACTCTTTCACTCTTATGCATTAAAATGAGAAGAAAAAAATTTACATACGTTTTGGCCATAAATATTTGCTTACTACTTGAGAATTTCTTCAGCTGTGTGAATCTTTGTCAACTGATAAATAACCTTATAGCGTGACACAAACATCAAACACCAAAGGCCATTTGGGAAGTTTTAACTTCAAGGTGCTACCCCCCAGACGATTTACTATACGTTGCAAACAATAATTGAAGAAAGTAAAGGATCAGATGCTCCACTAATATCAGCACCTTTACTCCTAACATGAAGAAGATAATCAACAGCTTTTTTGGTAATAACCTCGCCAGGGATCAATACTGGTATACCCGGAGGGTATGGACATATAAGCTCCCCCGACACCTCACCAACGCTCTCCTTTATCGTTACTTTCTTTTTACTTGCAAAAAAGGCATCTCTAGGGATTAAACTCATGATTATATCATCATAGGGTGCATGAACACTAAGCACTCTCTCTTCAGGATGCTGAATGGAAGCATATGTTGCAGCCAAATGCTTTATTCCCAATAAAAGCCTTTGGACATGGACCCTAGAAGTTCCAAGATTAAATGCATAAGTAATAGATTTATTCCCAACAAGTTCACAGACGACTCCATAATCTCTGTACAAGATTTCATCTGCTTCATAACCTGATAAACCAAGCTTCCAAAAACCTACAGTGAGGCGCAATGGGTCAATTGCAGGAAAGGTGGGAAAGCTTGAATTCTCAAGCACTGATATACCAGGGATTTGTCTTAGTGTGCACTTTGCTTCACAGGCTAACGCAATTGCTTGACTGAATACAACATCAGTGCTTTCACTAAGTTGAGCTCTAGCAGCATCCAGGGATGCCAAAAGCAAATAACTAGGGCTTGTGGTTTGAAGAGTTTGGAGACATCTAGAGATTTTTTCCTTATCTACAATATTACCAGACATGTGCAGCATAGATGACTGAGTAAGAGAACATAGAACTTTGTGAGTAGACTGGACAGTCAGATCAGCCCCTTGATGTAGGGCTGAGTTAGGCAGTTCAGAATGAAATCCAAAATGTGCGCCATGAGCTTCATCAACAATCAAAGGAATTTTACAAGAATGACACAGCTCAGAAATCTCGCTCAAGTTACTGCAAATACCATGATAAGTAGGAGAAGTGATGAAGACTGCTGCTGTCTTTTTGCCTTCCATTTCTAATTCCTGGATGGCTTTCAATACCTGCAACAACACCCAGCCATCCCACCAACAGAAAAAAAAGTGAGAACTAGATAACATTATTATAAGAGAGTATTAATATTGAGAAAGATTCAGAACAAAAGCTGCTTTTCTGCATGCTGGTTTAAACCTATTTATATTATTTTTCCAACAAATATGACAATTCTATTCATATCAAGTTATCAGCTACTTACGTGGAGTAAGAGTAAATTTTCATAAAGGTGAATATAATGTGACAGTGTACAACATCTAAATCACCTGTAATTGAGTGACACCACCAGCAAAATCCCAATCATTCTCATAGTCAGGAATGATGTACTTGGGCACTGCACCAGACAACACCAAAGCAGAAATAGCTGATATATGAGAATTCCTTGGAAGAATCAGAAATTCTCCGGGAGAACAAGTTGCCATTATCGCTGCCTGTATCCCACAAGTAGTACCTCCAACAAGAAACCATGTCTGTGATGATCCAAACAGTTTGGCTGCTTCAGTTTGTGCTTCTAATATGGGACCCTGAGGACAAAAGAGATTGTCAAGCTCTGGAAGCTCAGGCAAGTCATGAACATATGGTCTTCTTCCAATGAGCCGAGTCAACGAAGCAGGTGCGGCACGCCCTCTGTTATGTCCAGGAAAGTGAAAACTGGCAGCGTTTTGTTCAGCCGAGGCTTTCAGTGCACTGACTAGAGGAGGTAGGCCATTTTGCTGAAGCAATGGAGCATTGTCACTCAAAACATGGTCTTTTGTGATTAATATTCTCCCAATGCTTTCATCTAATCCAACTGCCGGTGGTGCTAGGCTTCTTTCCTGAACAAAATAAAATCCAATGCTGTGAAGCTCTTGCACCAGATATACAACATAATACTACTGGAACAATATTCTATACCACAATTTAAACCACTTTTGCAATCTTCTCCACAACAATAACCGCAAAACGCAATCAAACCGTAGCCAATGTAATGCAAGAAAATCACTTGCTAAGTGTATAAATCTCCTCTAAAATTATATATTGTGGAACTTCACTTCAACAATTCAAATAAAGTATGAGTTCTACAATTTAATTTCGAATGCGACTAGTTTTGTGTTACAAATGCTTATCTCTTGAGGCAATTGAAATTGGGAGATACATAAGACGATGGTTGAGCTTGAAAGGCTCCAGTGCTCCACTAAAACCTCAACAAATCAATGTTATACGAAAAAAGAAGAATGCAAAGACGGAATCGAAACCGTTTTATTTGGAAACTAGAAAAGCGAGATTGGGGGAACCTGAGAGCAATGAAGCCTGAAACTGGAATCGTTGGCGAAACCCTGCAAATATTAAAATAGAAAAAGGTAAAGAGAGTTATGGAGCAGAAGAGAAAGAGAGATTGTGAGGTTGGAGCTTACCAAAAAATGGAATGGCGAAAACAATTTTGGCGTTTTGGGATTGCAAGAGAGTGAGAGTGAGAGTGAAGATGTTGGAAACATCGTATCCTTCCCACCACTCTTCTGCTTCCTGCGCCTTTTTCAACTTTATATTTAAATAATAATATTACATTACATAAACATGATTTTATAAAACTAAAATTAAAATAACACATCATTTTATATATATTTTTTATTATTTTTTTAATAATCTATTCAAAAAAAGCGTTTGATTAAATTGTATAATTCTAATAAATGTTATTTAAAATTAAAATTAATTATAATAAAATATGAATATATATATATATATATATATATATTAAAATTATACCTACACAAGTATAAAAGATAACGTAAAATAGTATATTCTTATTTTCATGTGTATAAACACTTGAAAATATTTTTTTACAGCATGTAATAAACAATAAAATATTACATTTTATATTTTTAAGCACATATTTTCATGAATAAATATTTAAATCACGAAACAAACACATTCTTAAAAAAACATATTATTCTTTATTTATGTCTCTCAATTTTATCCCTCATGACAAAGTCTCTGGTAAATGTAAAATAATTAGAAACTATCGAATAAATTATATTTTAAATGTATTTGGTAAGAAAAAAATTAATATATAAATTAGTTTGACTAAAATAAATTTATTTCACATAAGAACTTATATTTTACAACAATAAAATAATATTTTATGACACTTTTAATTAATATTAATCAATAAATAATATCTAATTAATTATATGTGTAACTAAAAATAAGTAAAATTTTAACTCTTTCTTCTAAATTTAATTTGAGTGTAATAGTTAATTTAACTAGTATTTTAGCATGTATATTTATTATACATAATTAAATTTATAATAAATTATATATACAAATGAATGTTATATTTAAATATATATATATATATATATATATATATATATATATCAAATATATGAATTATATTTTAAATTTAAGAAAAATAATTTATATTATGACATAATATTATTTTTAATAATTGATCATTTAGTTTAAATATGTTAAAAATTAATTAATAAATAAATATAATCAATAAAAATAGAATTAGAAATTAAAAGAATCTATGAAAATGTTCTTGTAAAAAAATAATCTCTAAAAATATTATCACATAAAATAATTGTTTGCATTTAATATATAGAAATTAATAAGTTTTATACTAATAATATAAAAATAGTTTTACTTAATTATCTAATTACAATTGTAAATGATAAATTTGTTATCTTTTTCAATAATTATTTTAAAGTTATACAAATTATAATTTTTAATTGATTGACTATTTAAAATATTTTATAGTACATCCATATTAAACTCAAATTTAATTTTTTTAATCAAATTTTAAAACTTGTTTTATGATTGGATTTAATCTTTAAAATTATTATTTTTTCCACGTTAGCATTTTTGTTTAACCTTTTTTCTGGTTCCTTGCTTAACGGAAATTTCTTGAACAAAAACTTGGTGTGTTTGGATGAAGAATTTTACAAATTCAAGGAATTTAAAATTTTTGGTATTTGAATTACTTTGATTTCAATTTCTATCATTCTTAAAATATTTTGTTTGGATAAATCAATTCAAATTTCTCAAATTTTAAATTGTTGGGTTGAATATAGTAATTTGATTCCATCATGATAAAATTAATTTTAAAAATATATTTATATGTTGAGATTTTTAAATTAAAATTTTTAAAAATAAATAATAACTAATTTTTAAATATTTAATAATTTTAAAAATTAATATTAGATAATATTTAATAATTTAAAAAAAATTGAATATTCAATAATTAAAAGAATGAAGAGATAACAGATAAGATAAAATATATAAGTGAAATAAGAAAAACAAATATAAGAAATTTCAAATTCTTACTTTTTTGGAAGAATTTGAAATTCTACTATTTCGAGAAATTTCACAAATACTTGAATTTTAATTTCAAATTTCTTATAAATTTTCCATCCAAACAAGATACTTCACCTCAAAAAATTTAAAATTCTTCAAATAAATAAATTCCTTCGTTTAAATTTCCCATCCAAATTAACTTTTCTCCACATTTAACGCTTGATCATTAACTACGCCATTAAACTATCATCTAACTTTGACTCTGTAGCTGCCCTTGTCTAACTACCATGTCCTTCATTTATTTTTATCTTAAACCTTAACATTCACCATAAATATATTAATTTCTATCATTGATTAAACCTTTGCCTGTAAAAAAAAATTATTAAATCTTAGACCTTTATCTTTACCAGTGTCGTTAATCATCTTTGTCAAGAAGTTATACATTCACCTTAATCATCAAAACGTATTCTTTTTACAATGAAAAGTCAAGATTAGAGTCCAAATTATTCAAAATTCAAAATATCCTCCCACTTTAAAACATCCACTTAATCCACAAAGCTGGAGGATGAAGAAATTTAATTAACTAATTAAAACGGCTTTACCGTTCAAGTTTGTTTTGCAAATGGCTGAAAGTTAAAAAAATATATCAGAAGGTTAATTTGAATCAAAATTTAAAAATATACTTATAAGGGGGAAAATTATACAAGAAATGATTAAAGTAAGAAAATTAAAATTATTAAATGAGTTAAAATTAATTCAACATATCTTTTTTTATGAAAAAAAAATCATTTATTCATATTTTTTTATATAATAACACATTATTTTTATTTTCTTTTTTTTTTCGTTGACAATAAAAAACTAGTCTAAATAGAAAAGTTGACGAAAGTTAATAACTAGAATTAATCATCCATACACTGTCAGTGTAAAGTTTTTTTACACTGACAACTAATTTTATATCTTTTAAATTATTTTATTTTATTTTTAATTTATTAAATAAGCAAGTGACATGATATTATTAAAAGATATAGTTGGTTGCCTGTGTAAAAAAAATTTACATTAATAATGTATAAGTGATTAAGTCTAATAACTAATATTCCGAACTATGCCCTTAACGTGGAGGGCAACTTACGGCACTAGAGTCAACTATAAACGGTGTAGCCTACATTCTTATTCCTTTTAGTTTTTACATCTACAAAACCCAATAAGGATACCACCCAACGTTGTTGTTAATTAATGGTTACTTAATTACGCCTTATATAGAGTTGCAAGCATATATCTTTGTCACTAAAATAGACTCATCTAATAAAAATAAATTATATCTCCCACTTAAAAGAAAAAGTCAGAAGAACGATATCATACTCATTCCACGTTTAATAGTAAAGCCGAAAGATATAAACTTAGTTATTTTATTGATATAATTATTAAGGTCAACTCTTAATAGTAAAATTTTTATCAACTTTGTAATATTATGTGAATCATATTCATAAATAAAAAAAAAAATATATATATATATATATATATATAATTCTTATTAATAAAAAAATTCGTTAAAATAATTATAAGATCTATCATAAATATTGAGAGTTAATTTAGCCTTTTAAGGATCTATTTCTAATAATGTTAAAATAATGTTTAATAAATTAACATAAATCATCCCAATAAAACAAAAATGAGTTATAAAGTCAGAAATTAGCTAGTCGACGTGTAATCTACGCTTTTATTTTCTAGAATGGGACATGGTCTGATATGGCCGAGTTCAGACACAAATGTCAACTAGGAACATTCATTGAGGAATACACTTGTTTCTTAAACTTCAAATTAAAGTCGTAGCTAGCAATAACATTATAAATACATGTCCCTTTGTGCTTTGAACTCTCAACCTTGGTTTCAAACATTATATTTAATTTCTCTAGCAGCTAGGATGAGGAAGATAGTAAACATTCCCGTTTCAGGATTATGGGTGGCAATTACCCTTGTGATGGTGAGTGGGCAAGGCATAAGTGACATCGTGACAGCAGAATTCTTTGACAGCATAATCAATCAAGCTGACGATAGTTGTGAAGGGAAGAACTTCTACTCACGTGATGCTTTCCTCGATGCTCACAATTCCTACCCTCAGTTTGGAACAAATGGCAACCAGGACGACAACAAGCGTGAGGTTGCAGCTGCCTTTGCCCATTTCACCCATGAAACTGGACGTACGTGATCAGTAATAAACTAGTATTGCTAGATTGGTGCATTTGTTTTTATTTGATGGTTACCATGCATTGTTTATTCATAGTACAAAGTGTGATTATTGAATGATTAATTAACACTCACATATGCTTGTAGACTTTTGCTACATAGAAGAGATTGATGGTGCATCAAGGGACTATTGTGATGAAACGAACACCCAGTACCCATGTAACCCTGACAAAGGGTACTACGGGCGTGGACCCATTCAACTATCATGGAACTTCAACTATGGACCAGCTGGGGAGAGTAACGATTTTGATGGATTGAATGCTCCAGAGACAGTAGCCAACGACCCTGTGGTGTCCTTCAAGACAGCATTGTGGTATTGGACACAGTTTGTGAGACCTGTGTTGGATCAAGGTTTTGGTGCAACCATTAGAGCTATCAATGGCCAACTTGAATGTGATGGTGCAAACCCTGATACTGTTCAAGCTCGTGTTAATTACTACACTCAGTATTGTTCACAACTTGGTGTCGATCCTGGTGATAACCTCGATTGCTAAGTTATTAATGTATTAATAACGGATAATTGGATATGATATGATATATATAATAATGATATCATCCATAATTCAATTCCACATAATAGTGGAACTGAATTCTAGCAGTGTTGAAGGGTTTAATAGCTGGATGAGGATACATGCATGTGGCATGCCTAATCCTCCCACTATCATATATATTATTAAATAATAGCTGCAAGCTGCTTCTGTCTCAGTTACCTTATTATTATTAAGTTCTGCTATCTGTATGAAAAGGAAAAGGAACAAAAAGAATTCTGCATGAACGCTTTTTATTACTTATTTGAAAATGCTTATTGCTTGCATATCATTTCACTTCTTTTCATACCAAAGAGTGTCTCTGCAACTAGAGACACACTAGAGTTCTGTTATAATTATTTTGATTCTTTATGAGATACGGGGAGGCAAAAAAATGAAAAATGACTAATTTTGTTTATCACTTACAAGTATATATGTTCTTTTAACCTTGGAGTTTCGTTGATTGAAAGTCATAACTAATTTCTAATTTTTCGAAATATTAAAATTCATTTAACGAACTCACTTCGTTGAAGGGATATAACTATCAATCATATCACTTCATAGTTCCTAGCAGGTGAAGTTATATTTGTGAAGGGCAATGATAGCGATGGCCATAAGCTAAGATTGATCCCTCAATAGTACATTATTAGTTCACATTCCGAAAAAATTATTAGTTAGTCTAGTATCTTTAAGTGTCCATAATTCTCACCAATTATTATATAATATGTATTTAATTTTTAACTTACAAGAAAATAATAATTACACTTGCGTGTCTTGTAAAGATTAGTTAGAAATTATGTAGTCTAAGATTATCTAGTAATTTCTTTACTCACAATTTGTTCTTTTAAAGACTTATTAATTTATTATTAATTAATTAGTATATGTTTAGATATCAATTTAAAATCACATTCAATAGAAAAATATATGTTTTGATGTAAAAAAGAAAAAGTGAAAATTTGTAAATGTAGTTTTTTTTTCCAACTTTAACTCAATTCAACTCAACTAATTTTCAAATACATCTTTAATATATGCAGTCCAAGTCACCCACTTAAGTATTTTAAAATTTGAAATATTTATTAATTAGCACTCACTTAAACTAGTTAGCTTCAGTTTAAAATGTTGCAGTTAGTGCGGCAGTGAGAGTAGTGGGGAGTAGAGGCCAATAGGTGAAAAGTTAAGAGCACAACTTGGGTTGATACGAATCTCTTTACCCTTGAATTTTTAGTTATTCTATGTTTCTCACTGGTTTGGTTTTGGAGTTTGAGTTGTGGGGAACACTTTTTGAAGCAGTGGGAGAAAATAAGAAAAGGAGGAGGCACGATATCTTCTACTTATTAGATGTATAGTGCAAGGTGGAGTTGGAGTTTTTGCCTATCTAGCTATGGCCAAAACAAATTATGGCTTCACTTTGGAATTCTATAACATGTCACAGTGGTTTCACTCCTACAATCTATATACCATTATGCTTACTTTTTTTTTTTTTTTTTCAGTGGAACTGGATTCGATCATTAAAAAAAATATATTGAATTCAAAATGTTATAT